TCAGTCAACTTGACACCCCCAAAGCAAGTGGAGGTGGGCAGGTGCAGGAACTGTGATTGGTAGCTGGCTTGTTGGTGTTTTGCATAGGTGAGTTACCAAACTCTATGTAAAGGGCTGGAATGAGAAGGAGGGTAGTTTTTCAATCTCAGAAGTGGAGACTGTGTCCGTCGCTACAACAGCAGGAGAGAAAGAGACGAAATCATTTATTTTTTCATGACACATTCCAACACAATAACTACCAACAAGTATTATCTACTTAGGAATGCATTTACATTGTAGTGATTTTTTTTCTAAGGAATTCTTTTAAACTGACATTATTTATTATTATAAACATTGTTTTTAGTGGGAAAATGTATTTGTGTTGACATCTCTGTTTTTTTTTTTTAATATCAACCAGCCTAGATGACTGGGTTTATGTTTCAGCTACCAAAATGAAGCTAGCTGATATAGATTCAAAGAATTCCCAACTAGAGATATGCATTCATAAAGTAAGGCCCAATTACCTACTTAATCATAATGGTCTCCTGTGGCCAAATTGGTAACTGCACACTTCACCTATAGGAATGGTTTCCCTGATGGAACAGAGGGATACAGGTTTGATTCCTATTGGGAGACACATTTTTCTGTAGCAGAATTTCTTGATATTAATTTCACTGTTTGAAAAAAAGCAAAAAACAAAACATGTCAGCTCAAATACATGTACTCACTAAAAATAATATATATATTTATTTATATTAAATACTACCTGAAATTCAGGATTTAAATGCCATGGAGATTTCTTAATAAACCAATGGCTTCAGTCAGTTTCCCACTGTTGTAACATAGATTCCCCATGCCTTTTCTATAAGTACTTTCATAATAATTTTTCTGATGAACTTTCCACTAGGGTACCAAGACTTTATGAATTTAAGTACAGTATTGAAATGACTAGATGCAACTGTAAGTTCTATGCTAACAGTTTCTTCTCGCACTTCTCGCTTGTGGAAGTCTCTTCCAGCTTCTTACTTTCCAGTCAACTTTGATCTTCAAAAATTTAAACACAATGTCAATCATCATCTTTTGTCTTTTTAATTCTTCTTCTTTTATTGTCCTCTCTTCTTAATAGTAGTTTTTCTCATATTCTATAACACTCAGTAGATTCCCCACCTTGCATCCTAGTGACTTTATTGCCTTACTTGGAGTGAAATGATTTTTTTTAAGTCCCAGATGTATACATGTTCAGTAAAAAATATTTTTTAGTGTGTATAAACCCAGTCAATATTTTAGATCTTAAAAAAAGAAAAATAAGTAAGAGATCTGAAATATTGACTGACAGTACTTTCAGCTGAGTGTGTACTACCCAACCCAAGGATTGAACTCACAATTCCTATGCCAGCAAATTTATGAACTAACATTTTAATCCTTCAGACTATTGACTACTTTTTAATTTTGAATTGAGAACTGAGAAATTTAAACCTAATGTTCTTATTGCCAGCTTCCAAAACTTATTGCTTGTACTCAAGAAGTCGCCTTCATGACAAATTTACTATAGTGAGATTTGAACCTTAACTCTCATGGTCATAACACTAATATTCTAACCACTCAGCCACACACAACATTTTATTTTCAGTACTATTCAGCTGTATCTTTTTATTTCAGATGTTGTAATGGTAGATATAAGAACTGAGGTTGTAATGGTAGATATAAGAACTGAGGTTGTAATGGTAGATATAAGAACTGAGGTTGTAATGGTAGATATAAGAACTGAGGTTGTAATGGTAGATATAAGAACTGAGGTTGTAATGGTAGATATAAGAACTGAGGTTGTAATGGTAGATATAAGAACTGAGGTTGTAATGGTAGATATAAGAACTGAGGTTTTGGTAATTTTGAGGTATTATTTTAAATTGGGCCTGAAATCCATTTTTTGAATTCAAAATGTGGAAGAAAATGCAACAATAACTGACCATACTACCCAAAATTGGGTCAAAGTTTTTCATCATAGTGACTTATTCCTTGGAATAAAGCCTAGAAGTGACCAACCATTAGTGTTTGATTATAATACTTTAATATACAAGATACAGAAGAAGCCAACAAGTTCACAAAAACTTCAAGATCATCGAAAGATCCCATATGTAGATCAAATAAAGTTTTAAAAAAATAAAAGTTGATTAGAAAAAAAAAAAAAATGAAAATATTTTTGATACACCCTAATAAATCTCTTAGTATTCATTCTATTTTTTCCTTATAAAATATATTAGCATAATTATTGACTAATAAGGAATATATGCATTTTTAAGAGATAACAAGGAAGTTATTCTTTCAATAACTAAAAAAACACCTCAGTAGAATTTTCTTACTGTGGTGCATAAAATTTATTAAAGATCATTTTTGTTAATTTCTATTTGAATGTCTAGGATGGAGAATTATCATCTTATCTATAAAGTACAGTGTTTGTGTGTGTGTCCAAGCAACTCCTCCACTTTCACTGGTCCGATTTCAATGATTCATAGCTCATTCAAAAACCCTAAAAAAGTTAGGCGCAGGGAACAATTTTTATTGAGCTTAGATTCAGGGTTGCCAGATTATGCGAGGTTAAAAATATATATTAATATATTATACTAGCCATTATCGTTGCTTTCATAGTTCAAGAGGAGTAACTCTTATTTTCCTTTTGTATCCAAAATTGCAGCTAGCTTAAAAGCCACCCTATCGGGCAGTATTTAAGCTAGCTCTTGTGGAGGACTCTTGGTTTGGCCATCATCACCATTAGCTAGGGGGAAGTAGATGCAATAGACATCAATAAACTACAGAACTTAAAATTGATCGCTGCATTTAAGTATTGAATTAATGTTTAAGCTTACCTCTTAAAAGTTCAATGATAATTCTTCTGCAGCCACTTAATTTAAAGAGGACTTGATGTACATAGATGCTTATTTACTGTTCAACCAATTATTTTTATTTCATGGGTGACAGAACGGGACAGTTTATAAGATAAAATTAATATAGTGTAAAGATGGGAAAATAGAAATTAGAATTAGTTATACATTCAACATTTGAAGAGTTAGGGAAACATAATAGCTAATTAAGTAAAACCTATATTATGGAATCTATATGAATAAATGAATAAATGTAACACAAGATCGGTTTAATGTGGGGAGCCCAAGTGCATACACCTCAGCTGGGAAAAAAAATTCCCCAAGCCCCCACAACTGTTGGTTGTGCTGGCCTCAGTGTAAACATTGATCCCTCTTCCTAGTGCAATGAGAGAGCATGCCTCAGGCAGCTGTTTCCCAGGGCTAACACCTCTCAGTATAATTTTTTTTTTTCCACAACTGAGGAAAATTATACTGAGAGGTGCTGGTCTTGAGAAACAGCTGCTGAGAGATGATAAATAATGTATTACAAACCACCCAAGAGAGGGATTTACACACTAGGTATTTACTCTGTCTCCCCACCAAGACAAGTTGTGATACATGTCATTTTTTAAGGTGGGGGGTACCCGCGCACGTACACCTGGGCCAGGAACAAAAATTGCCCACTGCCTCTACAATCGTCAGTTGCATTGGCCTCAGTGGGAGCACCGATCCCTCTCTCTGGTGCAATGAGAGGGCACAGCTTCAGGCAGCTCTTCCCCAGGGCTGGGGCGTCTCTCAGTCTAATTTTTCTCAGCTGTGACTCTGTCCTTTGACAGATTCGCCCCCGAGTGCACTCTGCCCAAAAATGGAGACACAACTGAGAGATGATGAATAATGTGTTACAAACCACTCAAGAGAGAGGTTGATTTACTTGACACCCCCCCCCCCCCCGACTAAGTCAGGTTGTGACACAAGGTCAGTTTTTAAAGTGGGGACCCAAGTGTCTTTACTCAAGCCGCTGGTCTTCACTGGTCTAATCTAGTCATAGTTGTGATACTACCAGCGTGGGGACGGATCCCTGTGCTCGGTAAGTATCAGAATGTGTATACCACTCGAGAGAGAGGTTTACACAGTATTTACTTGAATCAGATACCCGGTAAGTATCAGAATGTGCCTACCACTTGAGAGAGTGGTTTACACACTAGATATTTATTCTGTCTCCCCACTAAGACAAGTTGTGACACAAGGTCATTTTTTAAGGTGGGATACCCGAGCGCGTACACCCGGACCAGGAATAAAAATTGCCTGCAGCCCCTGCAATCGTCAGTTGCACTGATCCCTCTCTCTGGCGCAATGAGAGGGCACAGCCTTAGGCAACTCTTCCCCAGGGCTGGGCACCTCTAAGTCTAATTTTTCTCAGTCTCAGCTAATCATAGCTGTAATACTACCAGCACAGGGACGGATCCCTGTGACTGGTCGAATATGTATGCTCCGCAGGAGAGGGGTTAATTTACTTGACTCCCCACTGAGTCAGGTTGTGGCACAAGGGCTGCTGGTCATAGCCAATCCAAGCTAGTCATAGCTGTGATACTACCAGCACAGGGACGGATCCCTGTGACTGGTATGTATGCTCCTGAGGAGGGGGATTTACACACTAAAAGCTCAATATCTGTATTATATATTATCTACTCCTAGGCAATATCATTCTTCAGGTTTAACTAATTTGCATATTGATTTTAAAAAGTTTATTTCATTAATTAACTGTCCTTCATTACTGTTCTTTTATTCGAGGATTTTCATATCAAAAATAGTTCTGTTTAGGAATATTGTCTTAGTGCAGAAAAGTGTTTGAAATTTGCATTTTACTTGAACTTCAACTAGTTGGCATCTATTTGTAAAACTTTCTTTAACTATAACAAACCAATTTATGAATGAAATGTTCATTTAAAATTTTTGTTTCAAAGATTTCAAGTAGTAAATATATCTTACTTTGTGAAATATGGATGGACGAAGCCTGATAGGTATTTATATTAGTGACATTCAAACTAATATCCTCATCTTTTCAGAGATTTTTGTTATTGTTTTGATTTTTGATTTTTTTTCTTTTTTTAATTAGTACTTCTTGTTTTGCATTAAAACTCATCTAATTTCTTGATTTTTCAGTGGCAAAAGAATCTGTGAACTTGGTGGTGGAATGACCTGCCTTGCTGGAATCTGT